TCGTGCTTGACTCCCTTAAGAGGATAACTTCGATTGAGACGATGGCTAGTTTGCTGATAGATGATCTTAGAGGGTTTAAAGGCATTGCGGGAATTAGAGAAATCGGCAAGCACGGATATGCCGATTGGGAAATCGAATACTGCACAGTACCCCAACAGATTGATTGTGACTGCGGCATCTTCGCGGTAAAAATGTTAGAGTTGGGAGCACAACATCAGGATTTTAAATCGTTAGAGAATATGACAAAAGAAAAGATGGCCAACATGCGTTTAGAAATTGCTTACTACATATGCAAAGAGTACCATTGTAGAAACAAAAAATAAATTCTGTGGTTAAAGAGCGGTCAAATCAGCTTTTATTACTCTCGTTAATTTCTAAGAGCTCAGGAAGTTAAATGAGATGTAATTTCGTTCATTAATAATGATGATGATGATGATAATGATAATGATGATGATGATAATAATAATAATAATAATAGAGAGGGCCGTTGAGATTAACAAATATCCAAAATGAATAACTTCGACTGTCCCGACTAATATTTGACCACATTTCGGACGGACTTTATTCAGTAATTAGTTAAAAATTAAAATGGAAGAAGACATGTGTGGGCGGTTTGCATTCAATTCGGGTAGATAAAGAGCGGTCAAATCAGCTTTTATTACTCTCGTTAATTTCTAAAAGCTCAGGAAGTTAAATGAGATGTAATTTCGTTCATTAATAATGATGATGATGATGATGATAATAATAATAATAGAGAGGGCCGTTGAGATCAACAAATATCCAAAATGAATAACTTCGATTGTCCCGACTAATATTTGACCACATTTCGGATGGACTTTATTACCCTTATTACATGGATCACATGATTGCATGGAATTGAATGGAGTTGCATGTAAAGACGAATAACTAAATCTGGGGGGGGGGCGAATTTGAATGATATTTGAATGAAAACGAAGGGACTTTTACACCCTAATTAGTACGGAGTTATTAAATACATGAATGAAGATAAGTGTGAACGGTTGGCATTCTTAAATAAGATTTAAATTTCGGTCTATATTGTGTTAATAATAATAATAAGGATAAAAATAATAATTCAATATTATTGGAACAAAATTTCGATTCTTTCGACTACATTTGGAACGTATTCGAAGGAATGTTTGAATTGTGTATGATGATTTAGATTTAATTGGCATAGACGAAGAGTCATAAATTCAGTTTTTATAAAAGTTTTTATACATTTGACCTTCTCGATGAGTATTTGACCACAATTCGAATGGTACTATTACACCCTAAAAAAGAATTCTTGTTTTATGATTTACATTACTTTCAATGACTAATGGAAGTTTATAATTAAAAGAGCAGTGAGAGGAAATTATGGTGCGAAGTGAAAATAGAACAATAATCTGATTTTTAATATAAAAAGTTTTTATTAAAAAATACATAAAATCAAACTTCAAATACGCATGAAAATACCCTTATGCGTATTTCATGATATGGATGAGAAAATCACAATCACCAAAATGTTGAAAAAACAGGACATGACTCTCATTTAGGCCGCGATTCTCAACAAACGCTGGACATGATTCCCTGAAGAACAAATTGCCATGGCTGCATGCTTGAACCTTTACTTCAAAAGTGTGTGGCGCTAGTTTGGAATGGAGAGTCACAACTGTGTTATCCGGGAAACAAAATTGAACATGTCGGGGTAGCGCCTACAACAGATCCAATGAATTTGTGAGTTATAAAATATAACTTTAAAAAAATTAAGAAAATATAATGAACAAACCAATCGCTCTTTGAACTTGGGATCATGCTCGAGGATTACTGTAAAATCGAACATAATGATCTTTTTTATTTTCGCAGGCAATAAGGAAAAGAAGATTGGGAAAACCCTAAACATAGTTGCGTATTTATATAGGCCGAGCAAGGCGGAAAGGGACGAAAATGGTAATAGACGGGAATTTTTAGAAGAGTCCCGCCATTTCATGAATAGGCGGGACGGGAAAATTTAGTCCGACATTTCAGTCCGCCATTTCATGAAAA